ATTTCCCCATGTTAAGTAGCCTCACACCTTCTTGTCAACTGTCTAAAATGGGCCATCTTGATTATCACCACACAAAAAAAAAATTCTCCTGCCCCCTACTGTGCGCGAGGGGCTCACAGTAGCTCATCTTAATTAATTAGCCTCTTACAGTTGGTATGGCTACTTCCACTTTTTCATGTTCTCTGTATGTATATATATCTTCTTACTATATGTTCCATTCTGTACATCTGATGAAGTGGGCTGTAGCCCACGAAAGCTTATGCTCAAATAAATGTGTTAGTCTCTAAGGTGCCACAAGTACTCCTGTTCTTTTTGCAGATACAGACTAACACGGTTGCTACTCTGAAACCTGTCATTTTGCAGATAGGTAACAGCCCCCACCTGTAATTGTTGAGGAGCCCTGCTCCAAGCTCTGTTCCTAACCCTGGCACAAACTTCCTTTGGGAAGTGGGTTGGGCAAGTCACTGACAGGCATAAGTTTTCCAAGAGCACTTACTCATTGTGTGTGCCTAATTTACAACACCTAGGACTTGTTTTTAGCAGTAATGAGCACTCACTAGTAGCTAAAATAATTGAGTGTTCCAGCTGCTCAGTGCTTTAGACACAGCTGCTGAGACACTCGAGAGGCATGGCAGCAGCAGAGCTCTTAAACAATAAAGCAACCAAAATTCATGGACTCTTTCCAAAATGTTAGCAGTGCCAGTTCTGTGCCTTTCTTACCTTACCCATAAATGGGAATAAGAAGGGAGTTTCACTGAAAAGGTGTGCAATAGACAGATTCAATAAAGCACCACTTCCACAAAGTCCACAAACACATAATTAACTGTTGAGGACACACTTTCAAGTCCCCTTAAAGTCAATAGGGTTTTAGTCCTTTGCTGAACAGGGATAAACTTAAATATGCATTTACATAGCTGCCACATCAGCTCTGTGTAAGCTGGAAAGCTTGTCTCTCTCACCAACAGAAGCTGGTCCAATAAAAAAATATTACTTCACCCACCTTATCTCTCTAATATACTGTAACATGGCTACAACAACACTTCATGCAAGATCTATGACGTGTTCAAACAGTGTGATTTCCAGAGGCTCATAGTCCAGTAAATTAAAACCATTTTTTTCCATCAGAACCCTTAAAAGCCCTCCTTAGGGAAGCCAATTTCCATGTCTAATTTCAACTCTTGGTTCTCAGCTATTTCAACTATCAAGTTATTTACAAAAAAAAAAGAGATCATGTTTTGTAATGGGGAAAGTATCTTTTTTCACTCTAATCTCACTCAAAAACAAATTAAACATTTTTCCCCCTCAAACTTTCTAGAATTATTTACCCTTTGGTTAAATAATTATTTACCCTTTGGTTCGGAAAATTTCAGCATGAAAGGTGTACATTTCAGACAGTTATATGGCTGGAAATGGAGTTATAATGGAAACTATTATAGAACAGAACCATAAGGGGTTGTGAACAGAGACTACTGGAGGGAAAAAAATCAACAGTTTTCTGACTGAATTATTCCTGAATACTTTGAAAGCCACTGTTTACAGTAGAATTACATTCAGTTTATAAGGAAAGATTACAAGTGATGTAGTTACTTGGCTTTCTTGTATTCCAGTGGCTTGCATATACCATTTGTGAGCTAAAGTAAATATAACATCTCCCCCTTTCATGTGCTCACCCTGATTAACCCAGCAAATACCATTTTGGACCACACTGTACCTACAGTTATTCTGAGTACAAGTCTGCATTCCAAAGTCTTAAACTTCATATTAGGAACTAAACACACTAACTCTCTACAAGAGCATGCACACACAGAGATATTATATAGTGTATATTTACAGAAAGGGAGGTTCCCACACGCTCAGGTATGGAAACACCTAGCCCTAATCTAAACTGCCATAATTTGATATATATTTTACCTGTACAGAGAGTGAGCTTTTGAATAACAGTGTCTGAAAGATTTGTCTCTCTCTTAGGGCTTGTGTACATGGGGAAATTGACTGGCATAGCTGTTTCTAAATAACTACAGTTTTCCATTATAGCTATAGAATAACACAGTAGAATAGCTTCCATAATAAGAGTCCACACAGGGAGTTCTTCCAGCTAGCAATAGTGTTTTAAATGTACATCTTACCTTATTCCTGAATAACTTCCCCTTAGGCAATGGTATTATGTTTGAATATAACATAGGGCATTGAAGGCCTGATTTTCACAACTATAGATGCTAACATAGCATAGCACATTGTGCATACGATTATCAATGATTGTGTGCAAACTGAGTACTTGCAAATAAGCAAATATGAATCTGTGTGTAGAAATACTCTGCTTGCACACGCAGTCTCGCTAGTTGTTCATTCAATTTAGATGTGATTGTCTGGATAGCTTTGAAAATCAAGCCTTAACAGTACATCAATTTATAGCTTTATGTTTCTTAGAGGGGCTGAGCATCCACCGCTTCATTTGAAGTCTGAGGAAGCTACAGGTGCCACCATTTCTGGAAAAAAGGCTTTCTAATCCTCAAACAACGTTAATTCCTTAAAATCTTGCCTCATTTTCTTTCCTCGATAGGAGAGTCCAAAACCCAGATAACCTGAAGTGAATGTGGCAGAATATCCTTTCAGATTCAAATACTTTAGTTGTGTGGTTTTATTTTATTGTATTGACTTTTTGAACAATAGGCTACCATATTCAGCT